ACACACACAGCCCCCAGACACAGCACCCCCCAGACACACACAGCACCCCCAGACACAGCACCACCCAGACACACACTGCACCCAAACACACACTGCACCCAGACACACACTGCACCTAGACACACATAGCACACCCAGTCACACACAGCGCACCCAGACACACACTGCACCCAGACACACACTGCACCCCCAGACACACACTGCACCCAGACACACACTGCACACCCAGACACACACAGCGCACCCAGACACACACACAGCCCAGACACACACCCACAGACATACACAGCACCCCAGACACACACACAGCACCCCCAGACACACACAGCACCCAGACAGCAGCACCCCAGACACACACAGCGCACCCAGACACACACAGTGCACCCAGACACACACAGAACCCAGACACACACAGCACCCCCAGACACACACAGCGCACCCAGACACACACAGAACCCAGACACACACAGCACCCCCAGACACACACAGCACACAGAATGTGACAGCAGATAAAAACACGCTCACACGCAGCACCCCTCTTACATACACACACTGCGCCCCTCACACATACAATAAGTCCAAATATATATATATATATACATACACACACACACACACACTACAGCACCCCTCACACTGCACCACTACACACATTACGCTCCAGATACACACTAGATCCCTTACCCTATATGCACTCTTAATCCTCTACACACACACACACACACTGGGTCATTTACACAGTAGATCTCCTACACACACACACTACATTCCTTGTCAGCAAACACATACAACATTCTCTAAACACACCCTCTCTGCAACCCCTACACACACTACGTCACCTATACACACACACTTCAGCCCGTATGCACACACTAGCTGCATCCCCTATAAAACTATGCCCCCTATACACACAATGACCTATTTACACAATACCACACCACACTCTACACACATGCAATCCCACAAGCAGGTGCCAAACATATGCACCATGCACTTTCCTGGCCCTTTTATCCTCTGGTATCCCACTTGTGGAGACACCAGAGACAATTTAAAAGCAAACACAGTGCAAGCATGTTATTAAATTTGCTTGCGCTGCGCAGAACAAATTCAGGGCCTTTTTCTAATGCCAGAGCTCTTCAGCAGGGCTCTGGGCATTGAACCAACATGCTCACTTTGAGAGGGGGCGTGTTGTCATTAGTGATGACAAAACACACACTCTCTGGCCCCGCCCCCTTCTTAGGGGGCCGCTCTGATTGAAAAATGCCCGGGCCTAATTTTTTTCCCAGTCCGGCCCTGGTATTTGGTATCTTTTGTGAAACATAATGCGTCTTAAAATAGCAGCATGAGTGTTGGCAGCAGGCTCCAAGGAGCACTACCATTTCTAATGGATTAGATATTTTATTTTTCCTCCACATATTCTGGAATCAAGGATCCTCTGGACCTCATTTATGTAGAATGGGGACTGATGGATTGATTCATGTTTTAGATAGTTATAGGCAAACTTAGAGGTGGGAATGATCTCTTCCCAGTTGTCTTGCTGTTATGTAGTATAACACCTCAAATACTGATCCAAGCTTTGGTTGTTTCATTCTATTTGCTGTTGCTTTGAGGGTGAAAGGCTGACTACAGATTGACAACAGCATGATTGCCATAAAGAATCCTGATTGAAGTATGGTAACAAGTTTCCTCAGTATTCAGCAGAACAGGTTACTGCGATAGGCTCTCATGTTTTGGACCAGACTGATACAGGATATGGCCCTGGGAGCCAGAAAAGAAATGGGGCCAATTAGTTTTTTGGGCTGTCATTTTTTTGTACATACTCCAAACTTATATGGTAGGTGTAGGTGGTAATGGGTTACGAAGTCCTTTCCAAGAGATCGTGCCACTCCTCGAGGGCATGATTGATTACCAGCAATTCCTTATATGCTCCATCATAGATGACATCTGCAATAGCAAGTCCTTTAGAGTTAAAGG